TAGTAAAGTTGGTTAAACAGGACATTAAGAAATGAAAAAGGTATAAGAAAAAGGGAATGGCTAAAAATGTAAAAATTAAAAGTAAGGTTTTTTTGTAAGTACATCAAGAGATAATAAAGGAAGTGTCATTTCTGCTGCTTGAAAAATTGATGGGTTACTAAATTCTACTTTTTTCTTCAGTTATTACTAATGAAGATTTAAGCAATATTCCTCATCCTTAACAGTTTCTAGATGGAAACATGATCACATAAGATTATAACATTAATCCTGAGCTTATCAAGAAAAAATTAGAAAGTGTAAAGAATGATGATGCTTCCACACTAGATATTTCCTGAAGGGATTTTGAAGAAAGTTAAGGATCGAATATGTGAGCCACTTGCTGATATTTTTTTTTATAAGTCCTTGAACAACAGACAATTGGCAGAAGATTGGAAGTTGGTTAATGTTACTTCTTTTTTCAAGGAAGGTGACAAAAATTATCCAGGTAACGATAGGCCTTTAGTCTTACTTCATTGTTGGGAAAAGTATTTGAAAGTCTGATAAATGATGCTTTACAAAGTTATTTAACAAAGTTTAAATTCTTGTCTGATAGTCAACGTGGTTTTGTTATGGAAAATCTTGCTATTTTGACACTCTTTAGCTCTTTATTGCTTATTTAGATGAGAGGTAAGGGGTAGATTTGGTATGTCTAGATTTTCAGAATGCATTTGACAAGGTACTGTATAAAAGGCTTGTTAAAAAATGATCTCTCTCGGTATGGGGTAGAAGTTTGCTTGTTAATAGCAAAATGGCTGAATAGAAGAAAGCAGAGGGTTGTTATAAATGGAGTTCAGCCAAACTGGATTACTGTCATAATTATGGTACTTTATGGCTCGTTATTTGGTCCTTGGCTTGTTTTGATTTATGTTAGTGAGATAGATAAAGGAGTGTTCAATACACTTTGTAAATTTGGTGATGATATTATAGTCTCGGGTGTTGCTGGCTGTGATGAGGATGCTGCTGCTTTACAAAATAATTTAGGTTATTGGCAAGTTGGATGAGTATATGGCAGATGGCTTTTAATTATAATAAATGCAAGTTAATGCATGAGAGTTATTATAATTTAAATTATGAGTAGAATTTTGATGGTGTGGTATATTCAGCTCAAAAATGAATTAACTTTAGAGCAATGGGATAGGTCTGCTTAACAGGATGTTCGACAAGATATGAAGTACTAATGAATCTCTGACTAACTGAGTATGAGAAGGAAAGAGACAATTCATGAAGTAATGTACAAAATGAACAATCCATTAAATCACAAACAAATTGTATGTACTAACCGTTGTTAAGCATGAGACATTCACTTCTACTCGATGTTTTTTTCCTACATACTGGTGAGAATGGTTAGACACAAGTTAAAATTTTGACAAGGTAGCAGTCATCTTTAGCTAAGACAGTTTGATTTTTCTAACATGGTAGTTGCTTTCAAATGTGGTGAATGCAATAAATGTAAGGGAGTTTGAGGGAAAGCTTGATAAGTATTTTAATTATAAGGGGCAAGCTTTGAGTTTTTTTGTTTGCTATTATAATGGATGGTGTACATTTAGTGGCTGCATTGCTTCAATGAAATGCTGGATGCCCAGTTTACAGAACATAAGTATGAAACAAAATTTATCCTAACACTAATAAATTTAATTTTGAAAAAGGAACACCAGTATCATTTTTTTAACTTTTTGTTATTTTTTTAGGTCTATAGTTATTTTCTAATTGAATTATTAGTGTTACTCTGTTGCATTTTGCTGTTTGTTTATTGTGTTTATTAAAGTAATCAACAGTATTATGACTGTTACCATGCTTGGAATGCTGACTATCAAGTAAAGATTTGTTTTTCTTAAATCAACTGCAGTTATTTAATTGGCCAGAATATGGTGCTTTTACAGTGCAAGATTACTGGATGGAGCTATATGAGTATTACATTTAGCATCAAATACATGCATATAAGTAGCATGATTTTATTGTTATTTAAAATATAAACACATTGCTACATTTGAATGTTTTATTTCATTTATGTTAATTACATGTCCAATAAAAAAGGGGTGTACAATAAAATATAAATTAGTAATTATGCTGATGTCATCATTAAATTATGCATATTAGTACTGTTGAAGGTTCATACCTTTGTTCAGTAATGTGTTTCAAACCCTTGAAAGTTAAAATCTACCCTTTGCTACAGCTCTAGTTATTTTTGAATGTACTATACATTACAGATTGGTTTAATAATGTCAAGGTGTATAACAGAGAAGTTCTTATAAAGGCTTTAGATGGCCGACCACAGAGAACACCTTTAGTGACAGTCAGCAATCATCATTCATGTGTAGATGATCCTATACTGTGGGGTAAGTATCTGTGTGATTATTTTCTTAGGTAATTTTTCTTGTTTTGCTGATAATCAGGATTCACTTTGATCGTAGTAAATCAGCAAAATGTTAGCTAGTTGTAAGTTTGAATAGCTACTCTCTTTCTACATAATTAAATTGGAAAGAGCTAGTAAGTATTTGTCATAGTTATTTATAAAATGGTCAATTGCGTACTTACATCATAACACATAATCAAAAATTACAACAATTATTGTTTAAAATATAAAAATTTATTTTTGTTAAATTGTTTGGCACTCGACTATTTCATATTTACATCTGATATAAAATAAACTTAAATAATGAAATGAAATATATGTGTGTCATAAAATAAGTAAGTTGATTAATTAGGATTACAAAGAAATTTTTCAATTACTGCTTTTGAAGCATTGTATGCATCACAGAAAATATGTAATTAGGATTTGGTAAACTTTGAGAGTAGCCTGAATGAAATGGTTACAGTATATGGTGAAAAGCTATAATTCTAATTAAAGATGAGTATGGTACAATTTGAATGAAAGTATATCTTAATAATTAAGTCAAAAAATTTATAAATCTATTAATTGATGGTGCTTGAATGATGTAAACAAACACAAGTCAAAGTAATTTTTGTGATTAACAAACACATTGTAAGTTTCCTTAATTTTGGTAAAGCAAAAATAGCCAAAAGAATAACTGAACAGAAATTCTTTACATTTTAATTCATTAAAAGGACAACTTTTCAGTAGTTTGCTTTAGTTTTGCATCATAGGGTAGGCAGAGCCTGTTTCTTGTAACATTTTTACTATGTGCAATTTTCATATTCTTTAAAATTCATCACTAACTTTTCAAATCTGGTGATTGAAATTAGCAAGTAATGATAATTCTGCTAGCTTCAGCTTGATTTGATTTCTTAAGCTTAGAATTAATGTAAAATACACTATTTAACTCTTTTAGCATGGGCTCGGTCTCAGGGACTGACCTCGTAACCATTTTGTGCTTGTTATAGTTTTCACGCTATAACTTTTAAATTAATAAGGGATTGTTAATGACACTTGGCACATTACCAGTAAACATTACCATGCTTTCATATGCAAAATATCAATGTTGTTTATTAAGTCTTAAGATTTGTAAAGCAATTTTGCCTTTTTTTTTTCTTTTTGCATGTTGCCTATTTAATATGCAAAGTAATTTTCATTATAAGATTATAAATACTGTTACGACA